CCCCAAAACCCCAAAACCCCAAAACCCCGTCTAGAGAATGGTTTTAGTAGATTTAGATAAATAACTATTTGAGATTATCATTATTAATATATATACACTTTATATACCCCAGTCCAGAATGAACTATAGTCACATTTATCCATATTACCAGAACCCTAGCTCTAACCAGTGTTCGGGATAGTGCCAACGCCAGCAATTCATCCCACTACCCTAATAATTAAAACTTGTCCACACCGTACCAAACCCTGTCCTAAGATTCCGAAACATAGTCTGTGGAGTGTTCATAACAAAAGACACAAATGCGATCTAGAGCTTCACAAATTAGTCGCCACTCGATTTGAATGATAGTCAGCAGCCGGTAATCAAGAAAAAGAGATAGAGATAAAACACCAAGCACTTTGTTAGCTATAAAAGATCACTAGTCCTTAAAAGCAACTCTAGCAGAGATTTGAGTGGAAGATAGTTGTCTCAATTGAGTTAATAATTCGAAGATTTCCCTTAACTCCAAAGTTACCAGGACTATCAATGCAAAAAGGAGTAAATTTTTTCTATTCATAAGTCAAACTCCACTTCCACCCTGAAAAAGCAGCGTATTGAGAAAGCTTCATTGAAGTAAAAGAATTTGAACAAGCCCCATTAATATTTCGATGAAGAGAGAACTCTTCGTTCAGATGTGATCTTCAAAGCAATCATCAGAGATATGAGAAAATTTTTCAAAAACCAATTCAATTAACTTACAAAGTATAAGAAAAAGTTCCAGAAGTTTAGCACCAGCAAGAATACCAATATTATGTTATACTAAACTAAAGAACAACTTTTCTACAAGAGCCTCCGTCTATTTTTGAACTAACTTATTCACAATGGAAAAAATGATAATTTGGACCAGATGCCTCTAGAAATGGAAAAAGTTATTATCGATTTGGTTTTCTTCTTCGGAAGTTTCATTTACGAAAAAGAGATGGATAGGACTATCTCATATCTCAAGCAGTACTACTTATAATAGCATTAGCAAACTTCCACTCCAGATTTAATGGCCCTAGGAATTAAATTTGAGGAGTTTACCCAACAATAATATATACATCAAATACAATACCATCTTTATAGCTTTAGCTTAGGAAAATTAGAGAACTTAATGAACTAATTTCAGTTTAGTTTCTTCTTCGTCCAGTATTATTAGCTTGCCTTAGTCTAAAACAACATCGTTGGGCAAAAGCCTACGATGGCAAAGAACTAATGTTACTATGTGGAAGCTTATAACCTTCTTTTAAGAGGGTGCTAACAGACATTAAAAAAATTCTAAATTAACAATTAATATAACAAATATGACACCTAATTTCACATGAAATTGAATCAACTTCTCGACATTAAAGAAGTCCCTATCTCAAACAGTGAGTAAAAGAGTACCGAGTTAGTTTAAATGAACTTCGGTCCTGAAAGTGAGGTTGAAGAAGAATCAGTTTCAGACCCTAACAGCACAACAATCGGAAAATTACTATCATTAAGAACCGGTGTTAGTGTTTGTTAATGACTTTTATTAGTATATTTTATGGTTTAAAAGCTAATAATTTTTATTTGATTAACTAATATAATAAAATTTCTGTTCATTTCTGATCAGATGGGGTTTTGGGGTTTTGGGGTTTTGGGGTTTTGGGG